TTCTACAACCTTCAAGACTCGCCCAACGAAAATCAATTTTGAGTTATTTTAGCTTCAAATTGACCTGGCCACAACAGGTTTTTGTTGTGCAAGTTCAAGTTTCAAATGCACCTTTTGAGAAGAGGTATTTCCTGACAACCATTTTCTTTAATGTCCATTCCTGGGTGTTTAGCATATCTGGCAAAACCTGTTGCTCATGTCCAGTGCTCCTGAGAAAGTGAAGATGAATTGCCTTCTTGAACTGCTGCATTCCACGTCGTATAGGTAGATCCAGTATTGAAGAGAAAGAGAGTTCTAGGATTTGGACTCAGCAACAAAGGAAAAGCAATATAGTTACGGTTCAGAATGGCATGCAAAACTTGCAAGAAGTGGTTTTCCCACGCATCTGCTGCCCTTGTTTTTGAGGATGGTAGATTTGATAGTCATTAAATGACAACAGACACGGTTACATGTTTATAAATTATTTACTTTTACTACTTTTGAAAGCTGCACTAAGTTGGCAAAAACAAACACCCAATTTAAACCTACTATATTCCAACTTGAGACTACTCCACTTAAGTTTATGAGAAAATGCATAATGGATGTAAGACTATGACTGTTAATATGAGGAAAACGTTTGTTTTTAATATCGTAAAATACACATTTAGGTATTAGTTACAGCAGCCAATTGTGGAGAGCAATATTTGGTGAGGACTTTAGAGCAAAGCACACTTTGAATATCTAAGGGTTTCATTATTTTCTTGGAGGTTTGCATATTCGGAAGATGGACCAAAGGATTTCTGTCAGACAGAACATAATTTGAATTAATGATACAAGACCAGCAAATTAAACATTTATTTCTAAGTCAAGTTCTCTGCTTCAAAAGCTGGCATGGACTTCTGCCATCTTTCAATGAAACCCCTAGATAAACTCACGGTTAAGTGGTAAATGGCTTTGAGGAAATAATGCAAGCATCAAGCGGCATAATCTTCTGTTGCTAAACACTTCTCCTACCCTGCCATGGCATGGTTGGAAGGGTGGGAGGACTCACCACGTTAATATTCTGCACTTTAGGCCGTTTGGTGCTTTCCAGAGCAAAGATAGTATACTCAGAGAGAAAAGCAGGCTCTGCTATCATCTCGGCCAATAGCTGTTTCATTCCCAAGCAGAAAAGGAAACAAAAAATAAAAATATACTTAGAGGAAATGATGCACATGTCACTGCTAACAGGTAGATTGTTAAAATTAGATTCTTCACATAGGAAGGTTCAGACTTCATTTGGCTTCATGGTACATCTATTTGAAAAGGTATCCTTGGGTGGAAGACAATGCCAAGCAAATAAAATTCTTTTTCTTCTTTGGAGCAACTCGCAGTAGTCTTTATTAGTTTTGGAGCAGTTTCCTCAACAAATCTGCCTTACAAAAACAGAAATTGTTAGAAAAACTCAGCAGGTCTGGCAGCATCTGTGGAGAGAAATCCTAGTTAATGTTTCAGGTCCAGTGACTGTTCTTCAAAACATTTCTGAAGAAGGGTCTCTGGACTCAAAACGTTAACTCTAGTTTCTCTCTGCTGATGCTGCCAGACCTGTTGAGTTTTTCTGCAATTTCTGCTCGTGTTTAATTTCCAGCACTCACAGTTCTTTCGGTTTATCAAATCTGCCTTTTAGAACAAGATTTTTGTATCAGCTCAATAAACCCAAAATTGGGAAGATTCATTTCCAAGTTGAGGAGTATCTAACAAAGGTACACCTTGTTTATAGGAGAGCTTTGTTTTTGAAAAAAAAAAGACATGGACTCCTTATGCTAAAAACAAAAATTACAGGCCAAATAAATTTAGCATCTAATGTGACTAGGCTACTTTGCAAATTCATGTTCAATATGTCAAAAGTCAAAACCTAACTGTTCCACAATTTAACAAAAAGCTTCAACTGGAATCAACACTCGATTTTCATCATTTGTTCTTTCATGGGATGTGGGCACTGCTGGCTAGATAAGCATTTATTGCCCATAGTCAACTGCCTTGAGAAGGTGATGGCGAGTACC